GTCAAACTCAAATTCACAGAGGGCCAAAATTAAAAACTGGGACTAAGTTGTTGGCCAAACTAAATATTTATTGAAATATTTCAACAACATCTGCATGTTTTCTCTTCTTTCGACATGTGTAATGTTAAACCTTTTCTTATTAAAATAAATGTTTAATTATAGTTTTGCTTAAACAGTGAATCCAGAACAAGCAGAATATAAAATAATAACAACATTTTAAATAAATAAGATCTCTATAGCCTATCTGTAGCCAGAGGGCCAGCTCTAATACATATTTGGTATGATCTCATGGGCCAAATATAATTATATCGAGGGCCAAATTTGGCCCCCGGGCCTGAGTTTGACATGTCTGGTTTACAGGCACAATGGAGGCTAACCAGCTATGAGGTAATTAATGTGCAAAACACCCTAATTTTTCAAGCCAAACTCATTTAAAACTTAAAATTTGGGAATACAAAAATAGCACGACTGTTTATAAAGTTTTAGAAAAATTATAGGTCTTAAATGCCACTATGTAGATTAGGCTCCAGTAAGCAAGTTGTGAATCTTGAAGTGGAAAGTCATTGTTAGGCTCCATATGAATCAAGTTTATAGGCTCAATAGAAAAATGTACAAATGTTGGCCAGTTGACAGAATCATAAAACGTAGACAAATGCCTTAAAAATTAATGCAATATGAGCATTTTTTTTTTTTGTTTGTTTGTTTTGTTTTGTTTTGAATTTGCACAATTTTATAGTTGATTGCTGTTTTTCCAGACATATTTTTTTAATGTTTACATCAAGTCTAGGAGTAATTGTTCCATAACCGTTGGTGTTTGGGTGAGGAGCCAAACCTTGATGCATTCATAATATTACTTTTCTAATAATGGTTCCCCGCGGAGACTATTGCTTTTTAGTGTTTTTCCAAGGTCATTGTATTTTCTGACGACAGACACCTGAGGCTACTATGTCTTTTCATTATAGCAGCTTCTTCACGCTGGCTCACTATCAATCCTCTCAAGTCTAAACCATCAAGGTCTGGCAGCGTGCCCCTGTCTCTGGCTTTTTCTTCTGGTGGTGATTTGTGATACGATATAAACAGCTTTGTGTCAGTTTTATTTTCAGCTGCAGCTACGTCAGCACACACAGATGATGAAAGATTAGTTTTTACCTCTACTCGGTACCTTGTTTACCTTGTGGAGCGCAAAGCTAAAATATATGATTTAAAATGGTAGATCTATCAATTTAAAGCTGTACTATGTAACCTTTCTGGAGAAGGGTATGCAACCTGCTTCCATGGTTGGTTCCATGGTCCAGATTACATTTCTTTACAGTCCAGCAATAAACACATCTATTTTCAATTTCAAGACGTTTTGTATCTCTCATCCCTTGTAAAACATGCAGGGGGGTCACCTCTTCACAGATCTGACTTGTAACTTGGCCTGATGGTGTCCTGGTTGTTTAGTTTACTGCAGTACTGTAGTAGCCTGATTCATCAGCTGATTTCACTTCGTGGAAACCGTCTGACCTCACAGCATTAGGATTCATTCGCTCGACGGTAGGCGGGCACTTTTTTTCATTTAACCAATTGCTGCTATTTGGTCGTGACGTATGTAATGTCCCGCTAATGGGGCTAACTGGTATATTAAAATTTTCCCAAATCCCATAGGAAGAAAGGCAATAACATCTTTCCCCTTGATAAAATTCACCAAACATTCTCTTTGTTTCCAGCTTTAAATCATCAATTTTGGGAATTGTTGCCAACACAGAATGTATGGCTCTTCACTGATTGGCTGGTGCCCGGACTTGCACTTCCGGGATTCTTGCAAACCGTCTAATGTAGTCCAATTCCCGACCTAGTTGCTGGAGAGAAATGAAATTGAGTGGAGGCACTAGGCAGCGCCAGCCTGGCTAGTACTGTGAAACATTTTCAAGGAAACAATGGCAAAACAGAGTACCTTTAATTGAAACTTCGGGTTTAGTCCTATGCACATTTGAAACACTTTAACTACTGCATATAGAAAGGCCATAATAGAATTGCAGTTATTGAATTTCACAGAGGGTCTTGCTGCCATTGCAGAGGACTGACTCAGGAAAGGCACCCAGTGTAAAACGTACTGTATGTGTGATTAAAATGCAAATTACTCACTCACATATGATTTGCTTCAGTGACCTTAGAAACAACATACTAAAACAAGATAGCCAATCTAATTAATCCGTCATTCAAGAAATTAATTATTTGTTTTGAAAAAATGATTGAAGCATAGTCCAACTACGACATACTCCAGTACTGCTTATTTAAATATTTATAAAGGGATATTGCCAGTGAAATTACATAGTCAATGCAAATGTGTGCTTAATCTCAGAGCTAATTGAATGAATGAAATGAGGTGGAAGGTAATGTAAGAATGTCTTTTAAATAAGCTTGGCCAAGAGGTCGTGTGGTCTTTTGGGTAAATATACACGAGATTGGACGTTGAATACACAATTGGACAGATTAAAAGGTGTCCTTGAAATTAAAAATACACTAATGAAGTAAATGAATAATGATTAAAGCCAAAAGCGAATAGACTGCTAATAGGAACATAGGTTTGTATATTGGTTGTTTTTAAATACAGAATGTGTTGAGGTTTCACACTATATATGGCATTCACAAAAGAAATATCTAAAAGGCAAATCCACAGAACAAAAACCTTTACCCTGGCAAGTTCCATTATTCAGCAGACTCATATTCCTTACTGTCAGGACAATAGGCATGATTCCCAGGATTATTTTCCTCTATTAAACACTAGCCATAAAAAAAGGAAGATGTTAAAGTGATGTGTTCTGTGCAGTGACAAGCTTTCAGATATGACAGAAGAAAGCTAAATCAAAGTCCACCAGTGATGTCCTTGATGTGGAAAGCAGAGAACAGAGATATAAGACCATAAAACACTATAAAAATTGATTTGAGCCCCTCCCCATTCACCAGAGCCCCTCTCCAAACACGTGAGCATTGATCATTTCGGAGTGAGGTGCAAAACACACAGCGGCAGGGGGTAGTCTCTGTTGATTTCTTTATAAATTATACATGATCAGGAAATCACAGAGCCAGAATACCACCAGGCTCACTTTTATTGGCTCTAAAATCATATCTGACATTTGTGTTGTAGACTTCAGCCATTGTGCTTTAACAATACTGCCCCAGCATGTGGTCTCCGCTGGCCACAAAAGACTGGGCATAAGCTCTGACATGAGGTGGTGTAGGAGTGGTAGGCTACATGCCATTAGTATGATCTGAATGCAATTTGCTGTTGACTGGAATTAGTCAGTATAGACTTCCTGAATAGAAATGTTCATTAAGCAGTTATATTGCCAGAACCACTATGGCTGATTTGGAATTATACTTGTATTATATCTACAGAGGCAGTTAATGGCTTAATCATTACTTGAACACTTTTAACTCTATGCTTCCAGTCAAATAAAGATCAAATATATGCTCACTGTACCAAAATGATGACATACACGGTCTGTGGTATGATACATGAGGCATTATCTTATTAGAGTAACACTAAAAGGCCATTTCCCGAATAACGCAAAGCATAAAAATTTGATTCACTTCCGTCTCCTTAACTAGCTCCTCACACTGATCCACTCTGCTTTCCTGTGAACATGAAGCACCTATACTAAATGTATAGTGAAAGAATAAACATACAGGTGTAAGGCATCATTTGCGTTTTCCATAGATTATGCAAACTTCACATTTTGAGGGGCAGTTCAGAGTCAATGGCCATAAACTGTTGATCACCGCTCATAAATGAAGCCATAATCTGGGCTGTTCCTCGCGGGCGTGCCCAGTGTGACCTGCTCTGTAATTAATGAGGATGGCGCTGCTCACGGCGACTGTTAAATACTTACATTTTAACTAGAAATAAATAAATTATGCATGTGGTTTAATTATCCCAGCTAATACACTAGCTCCTAGTTTAGAAGTGGAGACACAAAGCACAGACATGCTAAAAGGGCCCCTGCCTTCACACTTGTACATGTATTTTTCTCCAGGCTGATGTCACACAAGGACAGGCTGAAGCACTAGAGCTGCTGCTGCTGCTGTTAAAAGTGTCCTTGACTGAGCTCAGGTTACACACACACAGTGGAGTCAGACAGTCCCATGTGGTCCTATTATTGCAGCTCAAAAGCCTGTGCTATTCTGTTGGCTTCCAGCTAAATACAATGGGGCTCTCCCAAGGACCTCCAAAATGAAAGGGGGGTTCCCTGACACCACAGGCTATGTGTAGACGTGTGTGTGTTTCTCTAGTCTTTTTTTGACTGGTTATTATCTGTGCCTGAATGCTGGGCTGCACTCCTCTGTATCAAAAGTCCAAAGGCGTGAGGCCCTCAAGTGCTTAGCATCTGTTTGGCAACAAACTGAAGAAAAAGATTTCAATTGTACCTAAAAGTGTGTACTAATTAGACACCAATGGGTTACATGGATACACTGAACATTAATAAACTGAACATACCTGCTTGTCTAGTGCAATGGCAAAATAATTTGTAGGAAGATTTGAAGATAATGCTCTTTTTTAACATATATAATTTAATTCATTTAACTAAAGATTGACTGTACTTTGGCCCCAGTTTTATTTTGCACTCTTAAAAAAGCTAAAGTCCCGCACTCGTCGTTCCTGCATATAATGTTACTGAAGTGCCAAAGGGTTTGTGAGAGTTAGGAACTAGTTTGTTAGGTTTGATTAATAATAATAATAATAATGTACATATTTGATATAAGATCAAATGATGATATAAGATCAAATGATGCAGTCATGCAGTGAGCAAATGTTTACGCTGGCTGACCTTATTTATATGTTTTAAATGGACATGGAAATGAGATTTGACAGTGCCTTGCCCAAAGACAAGGACATAATGTATTCAAACCCCTGCTTCCTCTGGGTTCATGGGAGATTGCTTAACCTCCTTCAGTATATAAATAAAGAGGGCACAGTCTTTTATTGCATTTAATCTGAATGTGTGTCTTTCTTATAGCCAGGTCCAAGAGCATGGTGATGGGCGAGGTGTCACGGGGCCCATGTCGCCCGGGCTCTCCAGGCCTCCAGGAGGGGGCGCTCAAGGCCGGCTGGCTCAAGAAGCAGCGCAGCATCATGAAGAACTGGCAGCTGAGATGGTTTGTGCTACGGTCTGATCATCTCTACTTCTTTAAGGATGAGGAGGAGACCAAACCACAAGTGAGGACAATATTTATCACAGGACATTAACTGAAATCAACTTGGATTGTTGGATTTTCAAAGAACAAGTGACCAAGTCTATGAAAAAAAAAAAAAAAGCCCAAAACAACAGTAGCCACACAAAAACAACTTTTTAAATGCTGTGGGTTGCTATTTAATATATTTTTAATAACATATATAACATAAAAAAATCTTAGCAGGTTGTAGTTCAGTTCATTAATGGGTCTATTAAGATGAAGGCTAAAGCTACGTTTATATGATGACGGTCTGAACAGAAGACGCAAAAGTGGCATCGTGTCTTCACTTTTTATTCTGCGCTTAGACGAGCATTTTCGGGAGGAAATCTGCGTGCATACAGTGACCCAAAAGTGTGTGGAATTCGATTGGGTATGCATGCCAGGTTTCTGTGCACTGTATGTATGTGACGTAAACGCATAAGCAGTGTGAGCAGATCTGACCAGAGTTTTGTGTCTTGGGCAGAGTAGACGAAAACGCTACGGTCGGAGCATATTCAACTTTTCCACTCTGAAGGGTGGTTTCAGATTTTAGAATTTTTTTAAGCCCCAAAAATGTCGTCACTGTTTAAACTAAAGGCACTTCTGATAAAATAGTTTGTCGTTTTTACCCGCAAGCGTTCTTGTGTAAACAGGCCCTTACACGTACCTGTTTTTTGGCATGAAAGTGCTACTCAAAAAAACTATAATGTGCAACTGTCAAAATTTGCAAGCAACTTTTCATAAAAATATGTTCAAAGTCACAATAAAGAAGACTATATTAGCCTGATTCATAGGGGTTTTTACTTCATTTTACTTAGTTTCACTTCATACAAACTGTCTGACCTCGCAGCCTTAGATTTCGTTCGCTCGAAGATAGGCGGGTACTTTTTATCATTTAACCAATCGCAGCTATTTGGTCGTGACGTATGTAATGTATCACTAACGGGGCTAACTGGTATATTAAGCTTTTCAAAATTCCCATAGGAAGAAGTGCAATAACGTCTTTCCCCTTGATGAAATTCACCAAATATTCTCTTTGTTCCAGCTTTAAATCCTCGATCTCGGGAATCGTTGACAACACAGAATATATCACTCTTTGCTGATTGGATGGTGCACAAACTCGCACTTCCGGGGTTTTTGCGAACCGTCTAGTGTATTTGATTCCTGACCTAGCTGTTGGAGAGAAACGAAATTGAGCGGAGGCAGTAGGTGGCACCAGCCTGGCTAAGACGACATGGCAACTCTCACTGAAATGATTTTTCCCTTTATTTTAGTTGCACAGAGCACTAAGCCACAAGATTATTTAACTCAATTTATGGATCCTGTCTCTGAATCAAGTTAAATATCTGTGGCATTTCTGTTATAGAACATGAACCAGCAATCCACGCAAGATGACATTTCTTATTAAATTAATCTAACTTGACTGTAATTTCATTAAATGGGTCGAAAGAAAAAACATATTGAACACATATATGATATTATTAGATAGAACTGCTGCTTAAAGGTCCACCGGGTAACGTCATTTGGTTAGTGACTACTTCGCTTCTTCAACCACCGTGTTCATCTCAACATTTCACCCATGTGTCATTCTCATAGCCGTAAATACCCTTCGGTGATGATGACTCAGCACAATGACAACAAATCCCATCTCATGTTAGAGCATTAGTACAAATAATACTATATGACACACTCCATTAGTAACTTATTACAATTACATTAGCTGGAATCAATGCCATGGCTTCCTTTGAGCAATGTCATATAAACGCATTAGGATGGCCCGTGGCTGACAGGCGTACGTAGCTGAAACATGATGCGGTGATGTAATCCGACAACAAAAGAAAGCGGGGGAGAGGCTACCCACCCTCAACCCCACCCAACCCCACCCTCGAACAGGACATGGCCTTTCGGAGCAGCGTCGTAATCATCTTTTTGAAGGCCCTGACAGACTGCCTTCAATCAGCGCTCGCCAATACGTATTCAGCGTCTATTGATTTGCATCCCCCAGTGCATTCAAATAGCACACATGGTTGAAAATTCGCCAACGCGCGCGCCAGCATCCCCCCTCCGTGTGTGTGCGAGGAAGTGTCATTCTGGTCTTTTTTTTTTTTTTTTTTGTCTCATCTTCTAATCGATGGGAGATTGAAGCGAGGGAGTCGGTGGGGGGCTTTCACGGAGGAAGACCACCTCCCCGACTGAGATGGGAGATGTGATAATTGGTGGAAGGGAAGGTAATACCGCTGGAGGAATCTATACAGGATTGAGTGTGCAGACAATAGATGCTGTCTAATTACAAGCTCCTCCAGGCAAAGCAAGTGAATATGTTAGTGGAAGATGTTTTAAGAGCATGCAAACAGCTTCTTGCAATTAGTAGACATTAAATGAGAATCTTTTAGCACACAAATTGCATTAAAAGTCCTATATTCTACAAAATTGACTCTTGTGAGCTTCAAGATATGTTATAATGTTGTTGCCTCATCAAAAACATACCTGGAGTTGTGTTTTGTTTCATTCACACATTTGAGTTTTCAAGTTCACAGCTATCTTTTACTAGCCTGATTCATCAGCCGGTTTTACTTTGTTTCACTTCGTACAAACCATCTGACCTCACAGCCTTAGATTTCGTTCACTTGACGGTAAGCAGGTACTTTTTAGAATTTAACCAATCGCTGTTATTTAGTCGTGACGTATGTAACACGCCGTTAACAGGGCTAACTGGTATATTAAGCTTTTTCCAAATCCCGTAGAAAGAAGGGCAATAACGTCTTTCCCCTTGATGAAATTCACCAAACATTCTCTTTGTTCTGGCTTTAAATCCTCAATCTTGGGAATCGCTGACAACACTGAATATATGACTCTTTGCTGATTGACTGGTGCCCGAACTTGCACTTCCAGGGTTTTGGGAACTGTCTAGGTGTATTTGATTCCTGACCTAGTTGCTGGAGAGAAATGAAATTAAATGGAGGTACTAGGTGGCACCAGCCTGGCTAAGACGACATGGCAACTCTCACTGAAATCATTTTTTACTTACACAGAGCACTAAGCCACAAGATTATTTAACTCAGTTTACGAATCCTGTCTCTGAATTAGTTCAGTAGAAATGGGTAATTCAAATTGTCCAAATGATTCTCATGGAGATGTACAGAGTTTAAAAACACAGTTGGGTGGAGTTTCTTAACCAATTTTAGATATTAGGGCAAACAGATTTTGTAGTCTAACAATAATATACAGATAAATCATTGTGTAGACTAGTATACAAAATACCAGGGATTGTGTTTTAGTTATCAGATGCAATATCGGTGAAGATTTCCACAGTAATGATCCAATATTGATCTTTGTGTGCCCGTGTATCATTTCCAGTTTGTCCTCAGTGCATCAAGTTCATCTTTTAGAACATATGAGACCAAACCACAAGTGAGTGAACATATGAATTTATAACCAAGATGAATACATTTTTTTATTATTTTTTTCAAAAGTGAAAATTTACTTAAATGAAACTTCACTATAACTTAATACAAATTTGGTCTGCACTATAGATTTGAAAAGCTTTATATCAACATCAGCAAATATCGGTTATCGACCACAACAGCGAGGCAAATATTGGTCTTAGCTCCAAAAATCCATATCAGATTAAAATAGTATGTAGTTGCAAATGCTCTGGAGTGGAACATTGAGTCTAATGAGTTTGTTTGGTAAATCAGGTTAAACTGGGTGTGTACACATCTGTTGACACGTGTGCTCTCCCTTAGCCAGGAACAAGATTACTTCCACTAATCCAATCCCAGGTTTAATTACTTTTATCAAACAAACTAAATAATCACTATTATTTTCTCAAACATTTCACCTTATACTTTGAGCTTCTTGAAACTGTTCCAGCTATACATATTGTCGTATTTCCATTCATTCAAATGCAGCCAACTACTCATGTTATTCCAAGCACATAGCCCCCCTGGGAGTTCTTCCCCCAATGGCTCCTGCCCTGCCTTGTGCTCTGGCTCTCCTCCGCACCAGCACCTCCATTTGTTTCCATGGCGACTAATGCTGGTGGCGGCTGGGCCTTCAGGTGGGGGCGATTTGGCAGACTCCTCTGGTTGTTTGATGAAGGGTGCCAGTGCTGTTTAACAGGAGCCCAACCGCCGGCTCTGGCATGGCCTCAGAGCCGGCCTGCCCAGTTCTCAAGACCAAATGGGTATTGATCTGGATAATGTATTTGGATCATCTGTGATGCTCCCTTTTGAGTGAGAAGAGGTGAAGCTTAAATGCTCAAGTGGAGCAGTATGTTGCTTGTTTGTTGTGCAATAAAAAATGTGTTTTTGACAATTGAGTGGATGATTATGTCACATTATGGATAGATTTGGGTCTTAATAAATCTTGGTATCCAGCAGGTCTCTATGACAGGTTAGACTATTCATTTCCAAAAACACAGTTAAGATCATTATCTTTAAAATTTTAACAAAAATGTTTAAAAAAATTTCCCACTTTGGCCATTTTTTAGGTTGTTTATTTTGACTTCCAAGCTGTAAATCATGAGTTCATGTTGGAAATTCCATAACTGTTACCTACTAACAGTACAATAGGTCAAGGCTCCTTTAATGTACACAGAAATTATGATTTGTCAAGTAAATATATAACAAAATACTTTTATATTATAGTTTAAAGTATCAGAAAAATGTGTTTCTTGCCTGTAACTTGTGCCTAACTTTTGGATAGAATTCTCCCTAGTGTGATGTCATCAATATGGAAATCTCTAAAAATAGATTTCTCCATTTCCTGCAAATTTTAAACAGTACTTTTAATCTTTTCTTTGCAAATTGCTTCTTGGTTTGGTGAAAACTGTAATTTACATTATTCAACAATTAATATCCCACCAAATTACATAAAAATTGGAGAATCATACACACTTTAAGATAATGTGCAGTAACTGGGCCATCATCCAATACAGCAAATCTTAGAAATGGCTTGCTTGAGTAATTCCTTCCATAAAATAAATAAATAAAGTATTCATGTTTAAAATTCTCAAATGCCAAACAAAAACATACATAGGCAATGATTAAAAAAAGCCACAGGACCCTGCCTGATCCTGCCTGACCAGTCCTCCTCAGACCTTTGATTCTAAAGTTTTCTGTTTTGATTACAGGGCTTCATACCTCTCCAAGGCTGCCAGGTGAATGAACTGAATGCCAATCCAGACGAAGCAGGCAGACACCTTTTTGAGATAGTACCAGGTGAGTGTCTTGCTTGTAGTTGACAGTGGTGCTTGGTTATCACATCAGTGCGGTGTGGGAGGGACTAATGGAGGTCACGGCAGCAGAGACAGAGGTGATGACAGAGATGTGATGTCCGAATGACACACGGGGAGATAGGGACCAGGGGGCGGGGCTGTTTGAGAAAAGCGTGATTCAAAGCTGATCTGTCAACACACCATCTGATTGTGTCATTATAAGTGGTAAATGGATTGCAGTGGCGAAAAAACAATCACAATCTTGACCCATGCAGGAAGACACACAAGATAACAAATAGCATCTGCTGTTTTGATGGATCTGAAATTCAAAGAAGTACTTCTACTGCAACAATACATAAAAAACATAAAAGAAAAAAATGTGTATGACAACTGGCAATCAAATCAAAAACACCAATTTGGGAATTTGTTTATCTGGTAGCATTGTGATTGGGATTAGATTCACAATTTTACATTTTAATAACACAGTAAAATTCACATTTTAAACACTGTCCGACATGCTGCCTAAAGCTTTATTTGAACACTTTAGTATGAAGAGATAACAGCACAACATGTATTACTCTGCTCTCTGCTCTAGGCTTATGGCAAAATAAGACTGTGGGTGAGTTTGTAGTAAATTTAGATCACAGAATTTGGGGAAAATAATCTAAAGTAGCCTTATCTATCGGACTGAAAATATCAGCAGAGCTTATTGGCCATCGACTTCTCAAGATGTGAAACAATCAGTATCAGCCATGAAAAAAAAACAACAACACCAACAACATCATCATCATGTCAGCCAATCATTAATATTAACACAAGAATCACATTTCAGAACATGTTTGTACATGTTTGTGGATATTTTGTGGAAATGGTGCTTCAATAATTGCAGTCTTTGCGATTTGCTAATTGCTTCCATTCAAATTTGTAATTTCAATTTGATAGCAATCAGTCTTACAGCCGTAGAATTAAGAATACAATTACACTTTTTCCTGATATTGAGCAGCCCTGGGCGTTCATTACAGCAGATGGTTGTTACGAGTACTTTGTCTTTGGGAAATAAAATAACAGTGCACAACGCTGAGGCACGAGGTACTAATTGGATTTGTATATGCTTGCATAGTGGCCTAACTTTTTTTAATAATATATATTCTTAATAAAAATAAAATCAACAGACTGCATTGAAAATGAAAACTACAATGTCCTCAGTGATTCCTCCTGGCAAGGTTTAATTCAATTCAAATTGATGAATTGAAGGATGTAAAGAAATATCTCATCTAGCACAACCCAATTTAAATGAAATGTTTGTGTATATAAATGGCATAGTTTCATTCAAATCCTTGCATATTATATAGTGAAGGCACATTTGCTTATTATGCATGCACTTTAGATAAAATTTATCTCTACACAAATCCAAGGACAACCTTAAATATTTTTTGTCAATACGGAAAGATATTCATGTTTGCACATCAATAACTGTCAAAGACAATTCCCTCTGGTCTTATGAGATGTAGTCAATGCTGATTAGAAATGTAAAGGTTTGCCTGGGCTGTCTCTATGCATTCAATCTTATTTAGCATACCAGATCCCTTAAGTGCTATTCTGTGTTTGTGCAGCAGAGAGCACTGTTAACCAAGTTTATTAGTATCTACATGAGTTAAGCAACCTCATTCTGCCTTTTTCAAGGACTAGAATAACTGACCTTGCTAAATTTTCCTGTATAATTTAGATAAATCTGTCAATCAACAAACAGTATTGCTCCTTAACAGTCTCTATAATATTTAAAAGGTAAATCATATTGATATTTAAGTATCAGCTTTTTTTTAGTAGACAACAGCTTGTTTTGTAGTGTGTACAACTAGAGCATTTCTGAAAAAAGCATTGCAGCACAAGAGAACATAAAATAAATAGAACCCAAATGGTCTCTCCATCATTGGAGCAGCTGTGGTCCGTGCATCTTGGCACACTTAAGGGGACGTCATGTTTCATGTGTTGCTTCACCAAGTCTCACCTTGGGGCAAAACACTGGTTGGTTTGCTCCACATGCTACATCCATTGGACCTCTGTGACTATTTGATAATGTATATGTATTTGCCACAACTGTACCAGCTGACTTTTCCTGTATTTTTCTGTACTAGGGGAAAGGTTGGATACTTGATACAGATTTTACTAAAACAATAACATTTATTTCACAATAGAATGTATAGTAATTTTGTAATTTCTCAAGCTTCTTAAATATTACCAAGAGGTCTCATAGTTCTGACATTCTAAAACAATTAAGGAAAGGTCAAATCTTGTGCTTTTTTCAGTACTTGTTCAAATATGTATTTAGTTGTGTTAGTTTTTGTATATATTATTATCTGGGTTTGGATATTTTTGAAAACCCTAAACTACAACATGGATAAAACAGAGGCATGTGGGACCAGTGATGGTTTAGAGCACTGCCAGTGTTTGCTCTGTGGTCTCTCGCAGTGTTTAGGCTTGTGAGCCTCTGTGTATCTTGTTTATGGCCAGTCAACATTACGGACTGGTGTGAATGCACTGAGCTTTAACATGAGCCACTCACACAAGAAGCAAAATGCCAGAACTGTGTCCCCAGTCCACAACTTATGTCAGGTTTTCAGTGAAATAACCAGTATCAAAGTTTCATTCATGTAACCGATATCAAGGAATACAACAGAATTGTACACAAGCTATGGAATGTACTTTCACCCTCCATATTAGGAGGGCTGAGGATTAAAGAAAGAAAATTTGATTTAAAAGTCAGAGGTTGTTAAATCTTTTCTTGTGCAGTTGCTGAAGCCAATAAAAAGTATTCATCTCATCACTGTCACTACTAGAGGCTTTCTACAACTTAGAAATGTAATTCCTGTGTACTTTTTCATTCTTGTGTTCTTATTAATTTCAGTCCAAATTGTAAATTATAAATTGTGATGACAAATTATACTAGGTACTCTGGGTATACAAATAGGCCTAGAGTTTTTGAGTATGTGTATGTCATTTCCATGCAAAAGTCTCTTAATTGCTTCTGAACAATAACAGACAACACACAACAATGAGCAAGAGACCCAAGATGGAGGGCTTTGATATGAAAGCTCAGAGTTTTGTCTATTTATTTCAGCGCTCCACTGTGTTCTGTAATAGAAGGCCTGACCCCAAAAGAGCCCAGCAGCCACACTGTTCATCAGGCTGCTGTCAGTGACAGACGACCTGTGCTCCTCTACCACCGTGTGTGTGTGTTTGGCCACAGGAGATAAATCCACAGACCATGTTTATAGAGGGGACCGCACTACTGTAATAGAAAGACACACAAGAAAGATATCATCTATAAGGTGCACCCCCACTGTTAGATGTTCACATCAGAAATATATCAGTTTATGTGTCAGCATAATATTCACTTCCATTTTACTGCAATTCATGGCACAGGACCCACAAATCTACATCTCTTTATTCTTAAATAGTGCTTAAGTCATACAAAAGTAAGAGCTTACTCTGACTTCCCCCTGAGCAGAGTGAGGGAATTAAAAGCTTGTTCCTCTCAGACAAACAAAGCAGTGGCCCAAATCAAAGCTCAATCATGTGCTCCTGTCTCAGAGTGGGCAAACAGAAAAAGCTCAAATAAAACATATTTGTAAATCCTTTGAGATTAAAGGCTGAATAAAGCTGCAAGCCTTTGTTATGTGAAGCAATTACTGTCTAAAAAACAGCCCACAACACTGACTTGTGCTAACACCTAAACTTGTTTGACCCAGACACACTTAATCTATTGTACAGAATCATTATGGAGACAGCCACAGTGGAACAGTGGCACTTTTTACATTATTTACTGTCCACAGGGCAGCAGCACTCCACGTATAATCAGAGCCCAGTAAAGGGAACACCAGCCCGTGTCGTATATGCTATAAAAACTAGACAACACCAAACAAGTTTTAGTCACTATAGATATGTGTGGTGGTCTAAATATGGGTTAGTGGACCAACAGCCTGTACAGTCAATGCAGCCAGTTCCCAAAAGTCTTCTGTGCTGTGTGTATTGTATACATGACCCATACCTCCATGTCTGTGCTTTGGCTTAGTTTTAATTAAAAAAAAAACAAAAAAAAACTATAGTACTTCAGAGGACATAACTATTTCAAAGAAATGAGAAAAGTGGAATTTTTTTTTTTCCCTCTTGAGTAAATGAGAAAAGAACAGTGTGTTGTCAGTGTCTCAGAGATCGATTAGCATTGTCTGCTCTGTCTTGTGTGGACAAGTTTGTTTGGCAGAGAGGGAAAGCCGGCCCATTTCCATTGAGCGCACACTCAGTGACAGACTGGGACAGAGAGGGAGAGCCTTGTCCTAGTCCTCCTCAGGGATTTGCTTCTCCTCAGGGGGCTGAGGGAACAGACCTGCTGCCCGCACCGCTCAATGACGACGGGGGAAGAAAAGGCTGTGTGAATGGCCCCACTAAAAGAGAGTGAAGGCCAACAAGTGGAAGTAGTCTGACGGCGTTAGTTGGCACGAGTATGCCTCACGGGCCGGGCCGGTTCACCGGTGCTGCCTGCTGCTTACAGAGGGACTCAGCGGCCCGGGACCAGGCTGCGCAGACATGGGGCCGGTCTGCTGCAAGCCTCACAGGCTGAAGAAACAGCATCTCCAAGGTAACGGGAAGCAGATGCTGGAGAGTTTTTACAAGAGCGGGCCTTCAATGGGGATATTCTGGAGAGGAGCGTCTGGGGTGGATGGGGAGCACAATAATGGCTAGACTTTGACTTTGTGCATAATTTACTTACTTTATTTTGCTTTTACTACTTACCGAAGCTTCTTTGTGGATGATACCATGGGGCGTTGTTTAAAGGTCTGTGTCTAGACAGGAGTTTGACTGGCATTTGTTTTATAATAACTTTTATCATGTATTGTGCAAAGTCAGTTCAGGGCCATTTGTGATATTTTGCAAGTTTATAGTAAGCAAACAGCACAGTTGAGTAATTAGTAGTAGCAGTTTCAACTTGATGTTTCCATTGTACTGCTGAAATGGAAATAGCTGCAGCCATAAAAAGTAATTGTTTGTTTTAAATACCTAACCTTGATAGATGAATTTGTACTTTGCTGTTTATTTCGGTTTGCAAAAGAGTGGATTTTGATTGCATTTTCCAGAATAGAGCTGCCTTTGATTGCAAGACCAGGTCACAGACATAAATATCAGTTTATCAGAAACTGAAGTACAGTTTTGATGGATTCTCCCTCACCTTTGCGGTCTATTTTGATATAGTGGTTAATGGACAGAGCATGTTATACAACCGGTTGTCTATGCTCCCAGTCTCTGATTACTTATGCTCCTAATGTATTGGAGAGTTTAATGTGTGAAAATATATAGTCCAGCATATTTTATCTAGCTCATCTGCACTTTATAAATTTTAACATTTCAGGTTTATCCAGGGTCTACGTGTATATTATAACCTTGCTGGTTCCAAACCCAACACATAAATTATGAAGGTCTCATCTTCATCTAGAATGTAGGGTACAGGTTAGGTTGTGCACTGCGGAGGATTCTTAGGAAAAAAAAACAAAAAACACAAGGGATTTGAAGGATGATACAAGGTCATAGTGTAGCGTCTGTCAGGCTGTTATGTTTATAGATCATGTTTGTGTAATTTATTATATCTCATGCTTCATGGCTCCAGGGACATTTATTTCACTCTAGGGCTACACGAGCAATATATTGAAATGTGGATAACATAGTGAAATTTGCTTTGAAGGAGAGAGGAGAGACTGATATACAGCAGATGTCTGTGCTTTTTAGCATATCGGCTATCTGCCTTAAATCTGGCGCACAGGCCGATATTGGCCCAACCAGCTGCCTAAAGAAAATGCATAAAACTTTATTTGAACCTATTCAAAAATGTGACTACACTGCTCTCTTATCTAGTTTCTAGTAAAACAAGGTCATGACTGAGATTGTACTAAATTCTAATTAGTTCATTTAGGGAAAATTACCTAAACTGGCCCTATATATCCGCCAGAAAAAAGTTTACTGGCCATTGGTTTCATCTGAGTTCTGAACTACTAGTTTTGGCATCGGCTATGAAAAAAAAACACATCAGGCAAACTCCATTTTGAAGAAAAGTTTGAATATTGGGTGTAACAAAAAATATTTATATTGTAAACTCACAAATAAGGGTATAGTAAGTGATATTTCTACACTTCCATGGGTTATTTTACAGTAATTTCACATCAAGTCTAAAACAACTTTCACATTTTGTCTGGAAATAGATGCATATAAAATTTTTGTCAATATCGCCCACCCCTATCACCAGTAATTCTCTCTACATGACAGGACTGCAACATAATAATTGTATATATAATTTGTCACATGTTAAGCAATTACCAAAATTAACACCACCAAAGTTTACACCAAAATTCATATTTAAATCAACAATTTGACTTTGGGATCTACACATTATCATCTCCTAACCTCTGAAGCGACAGCGGTCCTGACATTTCCTGAACCCTACCGCTGCAATAATGACTACAGATACACTATACTGTATCTTCAATAACCGCAAACTCCCAGCGGAAACGGCTTACACTACGGAGGGGTTTAAATGTCACTATCCAGACTGGAGCAGCAGAAATCAATCCATCACTGAGACTTTGTGCTGAGGGCAGGGCTCAAGTGGAATAGTGTGTGTGTGTAAAGTGCCGTCTTAATTGGCTTCAAAAGGACATCTTTGTACTGGTCATTTATCTGTCCAATCAGAGCTGGGGAGGTTCCACTCACTGCTTTTGGTCCGACCATTCACTTCTAATGGATCTGTATGCTCTAAGTGAGGGCTAATAAGGGTGCACCAAGCCCCTTCATGTCACAGAATCTCAGCTCTTTTCACTTTAATTGGCTTCTTGTACTGGGAAAAATAGAGGGAAAATGTGAAACAGTCCACACGAATCCTTATACACAAAACAAAACTGATTTACCTAATGACCAATTAAAGCCTCTTGAGAATTACCGTATCTGATTAACAACTGTGCTTTAAAGCAGACCTATTATGCAAAATCGACTTTGTTGAAGGCAGATGACTTGTTTCTTAATAATAGTGATAATGTCACACACTATAACTCTATAGCAAGCTTATGCACAATTTGTCTTCTTTAAATTGACTGTAATGTCATGAGTATTGTGACCACATTGAAATGCCTTTTCATTGGATATGGGATAAGTACAATGTAGCATTATTATTTGTGCATTATACTTTATGTTACACGTTTGAAGATATAATTGATGAGAGTTTGTCAGATCAGATCAATAAATTCTATTTTGATGTAGTAGTGCCGTGTGTGTCTTATGGAGAGTTAGCATGTGGCCTCGTCTCTTATGTGGAACCAAGTGTTTAGTGTTTTTAAACTTTTTATTCCACCATTTCCCATTTGTTAAGATGTATAACTTGATTATAAATTAAACGTGAATTGAACCACACATTTTATTTATTTACCGATGTTAAAATATTTTTTGTTGGAACTGTGTCATGGTCCAAGTCTATTTGTTCAGTGTGAAAGCTCTGAGTATGTGCAGATTACATTTTAAAAGGTTTTTAAGCATCAGGGCAGATGAGCAGGGCTCATGTGTTCCTGTTTCTATATAAAGTTTATTCAGCTGGATTTTGCCTTTTTGCTCCATTTAGATTATGTTTCTTCAATTATGTATCTCTGTGCGTGCAGTCTGCGGCGCTCAAAGGCCTTTCTAAGAGTGGATGATCTGTGAGTAATGCGCCGGAGCCCGCAGAGCTCAGCCCAGGGCCCTCGGACAGTGTTGTTCATCAGGATAGTGTGACTTTGTGAAGATGGTGACAATGGCACTTAGCTTTATGGCACCACTGTTTATATTTGGATTCCTCCTCACGGCTTAATGACTGTGACAACAGTGACTGTGACTGTGGCAGCAACACCACACATCACTGCTCTAAATGTGTGGCTGATTCTCTGTTCGGCTCTAATTATCATCCTGTTTAGATTATTTATGTTTGGAATCCATGTTTTCACTTTTATTGTACCTAATAGAAAGTGCAAACTACAACAGACTTTGATTTGTTTTATGTTTAATGTGATATGATGTTTATGCAATAGTTTAGTAGATAGGTAATACATTGATTGGCCTTGACCAAGTGCACCCTCTGGTGGCAAACATTTGTATTGCAATAAGGGCATTTCTAATAAGAAGTTTAGATTTTTTTAAGCTTTGCAAAACAGCAGACAAAACAATGTGGATAGTAAAGTCTCTGTACTACAGCTATAGTTTAGTTCATTAATCAGTGGTGTCTGAATCAACCAAAATTTGTATTAGTTGACTAATAATTTCATTTAGATAATGAGAAATTATATGCTCAACCACAAAGGGAAGGTAGGAGGTAGATTAGTTGAAGATTTGTATGTTTTTGCATGAATGCACACGCAATTGTAGTACTTTGAGTGCAGTAATATGGTCAGAGATGATGAATTATCTGAGAACTTTTGCCACACCCCCCCTTTAGGCGACCAATTGTTTGGCAGAACGTCTTTAGTCAATCAAGAATTTCTTTAGTCGACTACAGGCTTACTGTGTACTTGCCTTGCCTGGTGAACATTTTGTATTGAATATTAAAAAAAAATTCATGTTAAAAATAGTACCATCTTCTTGTGTGTTTCCAGGTGGAAGTGGAGAGAAGGACCGGGCGCCCATCAGCCATGAATCCTTCCTGCTTATGGCCAACTCTCAGAATGACATGGACGACTGGGTCAAGGCCATCCGCAGGGTCATCTGGGCTCCTTTTGGAGGAGGTAAGATCCTGCGCCCCATCCTCACCCGAGAAACACCTTTAACCACAAAATGCAGACATTTTTGTCAGAACAACTAGTTTTATGTCATAAGGCGTATATGCTGATTATGTGAGAATACTAGAGTGTGATATACTTGCAGGGTTCTAGCGTTACAATAATTAAAGGGACAGTTCAGAATTTTGGACATAGGGCTTCATTTCCTAGTGAGCCAGAGTGTTGGAGACGTGTGAAGACACTTTTTAAAATATTCCATCCAGTCCTTGTATTTGCAGAGGTCGCTGGTGCTAGGCTAGTGCATGTCAATGGCCATAGTTATCCTGTCACTAAAAACAGTCTTACCCACTCCAGAAAACATCCAAAGCAAATCTATTATTACACCAGACTGTTGATGTAAATGTCTGTGTCGACAGAATAATTTTAGAAGTGAAACTAATCGTGTATTGCATGAATCGTCACATGTTGAGGGACTATTTTCTCAGCAGCAGTGGAATTTTACTCTGCTCCAGTCAGTTGTGTTGATATGAAGGCGGCCATATTTGGAACAGTCTTCTTCATGTGCTCTATGTGTCGCTGTGGCAACTGCAGGTAAACAAACTATTATAGAGCCAGTAAGATAGGTGATAGGTGATATCAGTCCGCAGCTGCCAAGCTTTCTATCAGGAAGAACAACTCGCTGCTGCTGCTCGCACAAGCGACCTCTGCAAATACAAGAACTGGATGGATTATTTCAAAAAGTGTCTTCTCACATCTACAGTACTCTAGCTCACTAGGAAATGAGGCCCTATGTCCAAAATTCCGAACTGTCCCTTTAAGCATTTATCATTTATTTTGCAAACATTTATTTAGCATAATCAGTGTTCAATAATTTATAAAGCAGCACCATGTAAGATTCCTTACTGCATGACTCTGTGGAGATAGACAGTTTAAAAAAATATATATAAATAAACTGTACAGAATTACAGTGAATGATCCAGTCAAATAAAGCACATATCTATAAAGACAAGCAAATAGTGGGTGGATCCCTCACCAGACAATGTATAAGTCAGATCTGTGGAGTGAAATGCTGTATACTTTCTATATTTTAAGTTCTGTAGTGCAATGAAAACCTGTAATGAAATAAAAGCCTTTAAATCTTACACGATAAGGCTTTAAACCACTTTAACCATCATAGATCCCCCTCATTGTTAGTCAGTCAACCAACGTAGAAAGCATCTGAAAACGAAAATCCATTGCTTGTTACAGCGAAATACCACTTACCACATCTAAATCCTTCTTTTTTCACCTTCTTTGGTCTTCCTTCCAGTCCATCTCCAGACAGCCCCACATGCCTATAATGAAACACATATGTTGACTGGCAGATTACTGTATAGTTACACTCCTGAACACCAATAACCCAGGTGTCATTTCTTCAGCCTGCAATTAATTCTCACCTTCTATCATTAGTCTCTGGTCTGTATTTAAAGCTGGTTACCTGACGCGCTTAAAAAATCTGAACATATGGCTCCATCGAGATACTGTCATAATTAATTTCTCAAAAGACGGGCTCATATTAAGTCAAACTAATTGTGACTATTTTGATTATAGTCTCTCCTTGGAATGCCACTTACACATAGTTCTACACATAGTTCCTTTGGATTTGACTAGGTAAGCCCTTTTTAGCATGAGCCTGTCAGATAGATACAGCGGTTAATTTGCGGCCTGTCTGCTCTGGTGGGGACATCTAACGAGTGCACTTGACATGAGTCCAGAAATATAACAGAGCATGCCTGGGTGTGAACTGGGCCATAGCAGCAGCTGACGGGACCAGTGTCATGTTACAACACAGCTATAAGGACGGTCGGCATATGAAGATAGCCTATAGAGAAATAATATGGAATGCCGATCACAAATAAAGGCCTCCGCTATTCTGTTACTCACTCTCATTGTCACTTGTACATGTGATAAACAGGAGACAGCTGGATAGTTTACCTTGAAGCGAATTATGAATTATGAGTGATGAAATTGGGATTCAAATATAGCACGATCTGACTACGTGACCTGCTGAAGTGAAGGATAAACAGCCTATTCATTTACTTGTTGGTATCCATACATCCAAGGGTGGTCCAGCTAATTATGATGTTAGCTGCATGACAGGTGCATCTGCTAGAACCTGTCTGCAAGGTGCAAGTTTATGTCTTTACAGCCGCTATTTTGTTCTTCTGTGGCTTTAAATGGCCTTTGTCACATTTTTTCTGATTTATGTTTTAATAATTTATTGTTTCCTCAACAGACCTGGAGTTGTGTTTTGTTTCATTCACACATGTTTAACTCACAAACTCATATATTTAGCCTGCTCTCAAACAGAAAACACTCTGTTCCACCTTGTAATGTCATGTGGTAATATAGAAAGTGCTCCACTGTGTTTTTAAACTCCATACACATTCACTAGAATCATTTGGATGATTTCAGACCTCAAATTTCCAAACTCTCCTGAACTAAAGGTTAGGGTGACCAGATTTTCAAAATAAAAAAAACTGTGACATCCCTGGTTTGGGTCGGTTGGTAATAATAAAATTGTGACATGAGTGCGTAATTGTTATGGACTCCGCACTAATGTGAGTCAGTATAGTCACATTTTCTTTGTGTTTTGGTCATTTTTAAGCAGCTTTTCTGTATTTTACCTAAACAAATGACAGTTTATGCCTCTCGACTGTTGGCAGATATCACATTGGTCAAAAATAGAGACACCTGGGACATTTCTTGTAGCCAGGCTGGCGCCACCTTCACTCAATTATTTCTCTCCAGCGAGTAGGTCAGGAATGGGAATACACTAGACGGTTTGCAAAAAGCCCGGAAGTGCAAGATCGGGCACAAACCAATCAGCGAAGAGCCATACATTCTGTGTTGGCAACGATTCCAGAGATCGAGGATTTAAAGCCAGAACAAAGAGAATGTCTGGTGAATTTGTGAAAAGCTTAATATACCAGTTAGCCCCTTTAGCAGCGCATTACATACATCACGACCAAATAGCAGCGATTGGTTAAATGAAAAAAGTACCTGCCAACCGTCAAGCGAATGAATTCTAACACTGCGAGATCACACGATTTCTACGATGTGAAACCGGCTGATAAATCAGGCTGCCTTTCTTGTATAAAACTGGGACAAATCACTGGTTTTGGATAAATCCACTGGGACAGGGGACACACGGCTCAAAACTGGACCTGACTCAGATAATAGGGATGCCTGGTCACCCAACTAAAGGCAAACGTTTCAGATGAAGACAAACTAATAATACTAAAGGTTTACTCAAATATGTGTGAATGAAACAAACCACAACTCCAGGTTTTGAGGAGATAAAAGCTCACAGGAGATCATTTTACCTTTAAAGACCAACATGGGAGTAATAACCTTAGAAACACCCAGTAATTGGTAATACCACAATTACAGGTTACAGTATTATTGCAATGGTATGCTACATTGTTCGTTTGTGTTGACCAGATTTTCAAAATCAAAAACTGGGACACTCTCAGTTTAGGGGAGTTGGTAATAAATAAATTGTGAAACTAGTGCATAATAAAGAAGAACTGTTCTGCACTCGGCCCATTCCTGACTTATTCAAAACTAACGTGAGTCAGCATAGTCACATTTTCTTAGTGTTTTGGTCATTTTTAAGCAGCTTTTCTGTATTTTTCAACAAAAAAAAATCACTTTATGCATCTCTTTAGTGCTGGCAGGTCAAAAACAGGGACATGTATAAAATTGGGACTAGGCCTGTCACGATAACAAATTTTGAAGTTCGGTATACTGCTGGAAAAAAAAGATGATAAACGATAATATTGAAACTAATTTAAGCTACTGATACCAAAACCAAAGAGATTTAAACCACAAAAATTATTCTAAAACTAGAATATTGATAAAAAATCATGAGCTGCAGTAAATAAACAACAGAAACACTTAGTACTCAATTTGCATCTGTAATGACTCAACTGAATTTATTCATTTGACCTTCTATACCTGAAATCTTATCATATAGCTGAAAAAGAACCAAAGATTTTCCGGTAG